AGTATTCTACAATATTTTACAATACAGTGATGTATGTACTATCTGTACTAAGTGTAACACTGAACAAAAAAAGAGCCTAACAAGAGTCATTATGATGATTGGATAAAAGTGTTTTACACTGAGTACATCAGTGTTTCACTTGTTCTTTTAAATGTCTATTCATAGGATGGTTTGTGTGTGTCATCTGCAAACAAAATACCATTTTGAGAAGAGGTAACATTGTTTTGAATGTAAAGTTTCATTTTGAAGGAGAATTGAGGGATTTTGCCCATTGTGTGTGTGGTTTTTTGACTAGTGTGTAGAGTTCTGAGAGTATGAGGCATACTTTCAGAAAATGTGTGTAAACAATTGAGAAAAACACTAAAAACATGCAATAAAAACAAAATCAGTAAAAATACTTGCACAAAAATGTTCACATAATCACATTTTCAAAAATAAACAAATTTCCACTGTGTGACATATGTGTAGGAAATACAAAGTAGGAATACCTTTCACAAATACTTGAAACATACTTAATTTTTACAGTCCTACAGAACTGTTCAAAGGCAATACTGTACTAACTGAGTAATGTATTGACATGCAGTACTGCAGTTTTCTAGTGAGAGTTGATTTCTTACCAATTCTCCTTTCAGAAAGTCCAGATAATGGATGCTACAGTGTACCTGCTCAAATTTGGCTGCACTCTTTGCCCAGCATCCCTCATTGTTAGACCATGGCTGAGCACATGGTCAACCAGCGTGGCTCGGATCTCATCAGAGATTATGATGCTTGGCCTTCCTCGTCCTCTTACTCTCAGTCCTCAGGCTCTTTCTGTTTCCATTGTTGGTGTCCATTCCTCCCAAACAGAAGACCTCACCTGTTCCCTTTTTGTGCTAAACCTCTGGTACCTTTTTGTAGAACTGTGTGAACGGTGTTTGCCGATGTGATGAGTCATCGTGCATAGTACGGTAATACATTTTACAATTTTGAATAACAGTATGTTCCTTGTGAAAACAAGATTTTATTCATGAAAACTGTGCCAAAAACAGTAAAATTGTGTGTAGTGTTTTGACAAAAGTGTGTTTTAGAACTGAAATTTGAGAGTAAAGCAGGAATTGTGCTTGTAGTTTAGCAGATTGGCTTCAGGGAGTTGGTGCATGAGTTACATGTGGTCATTGTGTCTCAAGTACCAAAATTTGTGTGTAAACAATTCAGAAAAACATGTAAACTCAAAGGTTATTAAAAATGGTCAGACAGAACAAAATTTTGAGGATGTATTAATAAGTACTTAATTTCTATGCCATAAGTCAGAACCAGATCAAGAGTGTGATGATGAGAATGAGATGTCTAGACGTTTTGGGTAAACCATCTTGACTCTATTAAATTATTAAAGGCTACGTTTGATCTATCACTTTCAACATCTACATGAATATTGAAATCACCCATTATTAATAAGTCAGATCAAAAAATCTGAAAATTCAGACAAAAACTGAGAGTAAGCGCCTGGTGGTCGATCTATAACAACTAACAAAAGTGTCTTTTCTGATTTCCATTTTGGATGAGAAAGACTGAGGGACAGTGATTCAAAAGAATCATAACTAATAACTGGTTTGGCATTAATCAATAATCCTGACTGAAAAATAGAAGCTACTCCACCACCTCGGCCACTTGTTCTAGGAACATGAGAATTTAAATAATTAACAGGAGTGGATTAATTTATACTAACAAAATCCTCCTGTTGTAGCCAAGTTTCTGTCAGACACAATAAATCAATATGATGATCAGTTATCAGTTCATTAACTAACAGGGATTTAGAGGAAAGAGATCTGATGTTCAATAATCCACATTTAATTATATTATTTATTTTAATAATATTTTTATTATTTATATTTTTAGAGCAAATTTATGGTTTAGGGCAGCACGCTGGCACAACTGGTAGAGCTGCTGCCTCTCAGCGAGCAGGTCCCTGGTTCAAACCCCGGTCCAGGAGCCTTTCTGGGTGGAGTTTGCATGTTCTCTCCGTGCATGCGTGGGTTTTCACCGGGTACTCCGGTTTCCTCCCACAGACCAAAAACATGCATGTTAGACTGATTGGTAACTCTAAATTGTCCCTAGGTGTGAGTGAGAGAGTGAATGGTTGTTTGTCTCGTTTGTCTCTATGTGGCCCTGTGATGGACTGGAGACCTGTCCAGGGTGTCCCCCGCCCCTTGCACAGTGATTGCTGGACATGGGCACCAGCGACCCCCGTGACCCAAAATGGAAGAAGCGGGTAAAGAAAATGGATGGATTTTTGGTTTATTTAATTTGAGCCGTGGGCGAGTTGACACTGTTTCAATGGGGGTGTGGGTGGGTAACAGGAGAAGCAGCAGAGAGGTGGAGGACTACAACTCTGCTTCCTGGACTGGACCCTGGATTGTCAATAATTTGGGGGATAAACAAAATCAGCCGTATTTCTAGAAAGAAGAGCGGCTCCGTCCAAAGTGGGATGGATGCCATCTCTCCGCATCAGACCAGGTTTTCCCCAGAAAGAACTCCAGTTATCTATGTAGCCCACGTCGTTGTCAGAACACCACCTGGACACCCAGCGGTTAAACCACGACATACGGCTAAACATGTCATCTCTGGTCAGGTTGGGGAGGGGGCCGGAGAAAACTACAGAGTCCAACATGGTTTTAGCAAAGTCACACACCGAAGCAACATTAATTTTAGTGACCTCCGATTGGCGTAACCAGGTGTCATTACTGCAAATATACATTACAAATACAAAATAAAAATAAATTTCTCAATGAAATAAGCCCAAAGTGACCAAGTTTTCTCCAGAGTTCCTCCTACCTGTACGTTCCTGGAACAAGTAGACTCTGAGAATGATTGCCTTCTGCTCATTTGTCCACTGGGTGGTGCACTGAGACAGATTTGTTTTTCTCCAAAAAAAAAAAAAAAGTACACATTCAATCATTTCAATTATTATATTCTAACATGTTCAATTAAATAACTCTTAAAGTGGACTAAAGAAATTGTTTATTTTAAAATTGTTTTGGCACTTCCATGTGGACTGAAAATTAGAACAACAAATTCTCAACTATTCCTGTCTTTCAGTACAAGGTCAGGGTCAGTTTTCAGTGTGGACAGGAAGTTCTGAATCACTAAGACAGTAACAGATGCTGAGATGTAACTGATACCATTTTTACAGTTTAAACATTTATTTTTTCCCTCCTAGTCTGTTTTATCTATTATGAACCTTTGAAAACAGCCTTTTTCCAATATCAATCTAAACCATAAACCAGAGAAATAATCCTTACATGGCCTGAGTAAATCAGGCTGAAAACACAGAAATGGAATGAGAATCAGCAGACGAGCATTTGGCACAGCAGCAGCGTTTAACCAACGAGTATCTCACCTGCTTTTAGCTGCTACACCGTCAACCTAATCGTAATGACAAACACAGGGCCCACGTGCTTTTGGACTTTGTAACAATGCAACATTTCAACATATGAGAATGATAGAGATGAGCATAAAACTGGTTATACTGGCCCGAATGGTTCTCATGATGCTGTGCCGTCTCCTTCTCATTTTTATATTTCCACATCCTTTCAGGACATGTGTGAACGTGAACTCACATTTATTACATCAAATTACAATACATTTCTCATATATTTTGAAAGAAAAAACTATTTTTTTGACAAAGCAAGCATCTACTTGGTCCTGTTACTTAAAAAGGAATTTCTGTCATCAGGGATCAAGTGGCACTCCTGGTACAATGCATCAGGAAGGATCAGAGCTGGCTCTCAGTTTCACATTTGTCCGTTCCATTCTCCAGCGGCCAGGCGGACAGAAGTAGCTCGCTGAAGTTCATGTTGCTGTCATTGAGGCGCTGCACACGGTACGTCTCGTAGTGGATGTTGTGGGTCACATCCTTCAGGTCCTGCAGGTGGGACCTTTGTAAGGAACACAGAGAGGCTTCACAATCTGAGCTGGCTTTGTTTTGTCAACGGGTACCATTCAGACCCACTCCAAAAACATTAGGATGTTATATAAAATGAAAAATAAAAAACAGAATGCAATGATCTGTAAAGTTCATAAACCCACATTTGATATAAAATAGAATATAGCAAATATCAACTATTTAAATTAAGAGACTGTAGCAATTTTATTAGTTTCTCATGATGTGTAACATTTCACTGCCGGTATGAACTATGTTATTGTTTTTGCCTGGAGTTTAAAAAAAAATCCAGTTCTTGTGGATTAAAATAAAAATGAGGTAATTTTTAATTTTAAAGGCAGCAACACATTTCATTAAAGCTCGGACAGGGGCAACAAAAAGTTGTAAAAGGAAATGGCATGAATAAGAACCAGGTGGTCCAGGAGCATTTTGTAACTAACAATGTTAATTAACAACAAGCCAGAAGTAGGACTGGTATAATAAGAACATTTTAGAGATAATGACAATCCGAAGAAATCTCTGAGCTGAAATTCAATATTGGATGGTCATGATAGTCATTTTTCCTGTAGCCCTGGGAGAGAGAACAGTTCTTGGTTCTTGCGAGTTATTTAACCTACTGAGAGAAGTCAACCTGAAGGAATACTCAGGGAGTTCTGCAGAACCACAATGATAAAAAGCCGAAGATCATTCTATTCATTCATTCAACCTTTATTTCTACAGGTTAGTCTCAACGAGTCACGAGGATTCATTTACAAGAGAGACCATAAATGAGGTACACACAACAATACACATTCCTATGAAAGCATATAAAATTAAAAGTATATAAAAGAAGTGGTACAAAACAAAATAAAATATAAAATAAAAACATGCTACATGATAAAACGGTGTAAGATACTAAAAACAGGAACATGTTTGAATTGAACTTTTCATTCAACCTTTATTTAAACAGATAAATCACATTGAGCCTCAAAGACTCATTTACAAGTGAGACCTGTTTGGACAGACAAAAACAGTGGTTAACTGGACACATGTAGGAGTTGGAGGCGAAAAAAATTCCTATCAGACTTTTTTTTTCTTGCCTGAGAAAAAACCCCTCTAATATTAGAAAAACACCTCGCACAAACAAGCACATAGTAACGTAGACATTCTGCAATCGGAGACGAGAGTGGTCAACAACGCTTATAGATGCTCTCGAGGTCACTGTAATCAGTCAATGTCCTCCGGTGAGATCCATAAACATTCTCAAGGTATGTCGAGGAATGGCCAAGAATAACATCTATGAGAATCCAAGAGTCCTGAAATGATGACACAAGTTTATTCAGCGGGGTTTCATCTGATTATCAGTTGGAAATTCCTCAGGGAGGGGGTGGTGAGCGTCAGACCACATGTTCTCCAGGCGGATTCAGATAAGATGGTCTTCAAGGACAACCAAGGCGACCAAATTTAGATAAACATACAGTTGTTTTGGGGACAGGCAGGACTTAATGACATCTACCTTGAAAGTCTGTGTTGGTCAACTCGGTTCCGAAATGTCCAAAATAACATGGCCATACCGATGGAACGTGACTGAGTAAAATCCCAAATATCTGATCCATTCAGCCCAAAGCATTTGAGTCCGGGTACACGAGACAAGAACCAAGCCATCAAAAAGGCAAGCAGCGTGATCGGGTCCAAATTTGCTACCAACGATTTCCTTGATTGTAGATAAAACCAGCCAGCCAAATCCAAAATAGCAGGAACCAGCTATCGAAAATCCAATTAAATATGCGTCCTTAAAATCCACAGATGGCAGCAGAGATAGACACATCATCAAGTCTTCCAACTTAACAGTAGTTTAAAATCCCTTAAGAAAGTCTAGGTCGAGAGCTTCAGATCTTTTTGTGAGGTGTTCCAGGTTACAGGAGCGGAGTAGGAGAATTCAATTTAATTCAAAGTTTATTTATATAGCACATTTAAAAACAACCACAGCTGACCAAAGTGCTTCACAAGAATACAACATCATAGATAAAATATGATAAATGAACTAAAACTGAGTTTAATAAAAATATAATTATGATAAAATTTGTAGTAAAATACCAATAAAACATTAAAGCTGCAAGCAGCATTGAAGGCCCTGGCAGCAAAGTGCCGCTCCAGCCTTACGGAGACCGCGGGAGCTCCAGCAACGCCTCCCAGTCACCGTCGCGAATGCTCTCATGCTATTCCCGCACGCTTCCACCATGGTGCGCATATACCTAAACTTTTCAATCGCCTTCCGCCCATAACAGTATGAGAGGTTGTGCACTTGAGTCATATGTTAAACCACAATATCAATGTGTTTAGACGTGCTCACGGATTATGCACCAAAAATCCGCTTCCGATCGGATGATAATTCACTGAGATATAACTGTTGGAATATCGTAGGGGGCACACTTGAGTCATATGTTAAAGAACAATACCAATGTGCCTATAAGTGCTCACTAATGACACACCAAAAATCTGGTCCAGATCAGATGATGTATCACTGTGATATAACATTTTGGATGATAAAGGGGACACACTTGAATCAAAAGTAAAAAAAACAATACCAATGTGTCCATAAGTGCTGACTAATGACGCACCAAAAATCTGGTACAGATCGGATGATATATCACTGAGATATAACAGTTTGAATAATCTATGGGGCGTACTTGAGTCAAATAATAAACAACAATACCAATGTGTCAGAAAATGCTCACAGATGACGCAACAAAAATCTGGTACAGATCAGATGATGTATCATAGAGATATAACTGTTAGAATGATGTAGGGGGCGCTCTAGAGTCAAATATTAAAAAACATTACCAATGTGCCTATAAGTGCTCACTAATGACGCACCAAAAATCTGGTGCAGATCGGATGATGTATCATTGAGATATAACTGTTAGAATGATGTAGGGGGCGCTCTACAGTGAAAAGTTAAAAAACAATACCAATGTGTCCATAAGCGCTCACTAATGATGCACGAAAAATCTGGTGCAGATTGGATGATATTTCACTGAGATATAACTGTTACAATAATGTAGGGGGCGCACTTGAGTCAACAGTTAAAAAACAATACCAATGTGTCCATAAGTGCTCACTAATGACGAACCAAAAATCTGGTTCACATCGGATGTTGTATCACTGATATATAATTGTAGGAAGAATGTAGGTTGCACTATGGAGGCTATTGGCCACTTACCATGGATAACTGCTCAAGAGGTGAATAATGATTGATCATAGTGATTTTGGTTCACCTCGGCTGAAATCTGTACAATTTAGAGCCAAACGTATTGCAACGGCATCACTTCTTGATTCGTCATGCCGCCACGCCCACATCCTCCAGCAAAAACGGTTTGCACTTTAAATCAAGTCAGACCATCTTATCTATCTTCTAACACAAGATCATCATGATTAGGTCAATGGTGTCAAATAGGGCGCATTCCAAGTAAAAAAATAAGACTTCCTGTTCTGAGGGGGTGGGGCTTTGATGACATCAAAATATGACCACAGTGGATCGTCGGGCATCCAACAGGGATGAGTCATGCCAAGCTTGGTGCTTTTCGGTCTTTCGATGTGAAAGTTATAGTGTTTTTAAATTTATGGCGGGAAGCGCAAATTTGAGGCCTGGCCACGCCCCTTTAACAAAACGAAACCAAAAGCTTTTAATAACTTTTACTCTCCAATGTCTTAAGGGCATATAACCAAGTTTGAAGGCAATCCTTCAAAATCCCTAGGTGTACATTAAAATTTGACATTAGAAACGCCCAAAAATGACCCTTTGACCAAAGATGGCCGACTTCCTGTTGATTTTGGACAAGGGCTCTAAGAGACTTTTTCATAGGTCCTGAGCCGATACACATGTTCACTGATTTTCAGAATTATCGGTCAAAAAATGGCTTGCGGCTGAGGTTTTAAAATATTCTAGGGGGCGCTGTGGAGGCTATTGGCCAATTATCATGGCTTCCTGTTCACGGGGTGGGTAATGATCGATCATAGTGATTTTGGTGAACCTCGGATCAAATCTTTGGAATTTAGAGCCAAACGTGTTGTAACGGCGTCACTTCTGAATTCACCACCACATCCACATCCTCCAGCGAAAACGGTTTGCACTTTAAAGCAAGTCAGACCAACTTGTTATGTCTTCTAACAAAGAATCATCCTGATTCGGTCAAGGGTGTCAGAGAGGGAGCATTCCAAGCAAAAAAAGGATTTCCTGTTCTGAGGGGGCGGGGCTTTGATGACGTCAGAATAGGATCGTCGGGCATCGGCCAAGGATGGCTTATGCCAAGTTTTGTGCATTTTGCTCTTTCAATGTGAAAGTTAGACCGTTTGGAAATTTATGGCTAGAGGCATAACTTTGAGGCCTAGCCACGCCCCTTCAACAAAACGAAACCGAAAGCTTTTAATAACTTTTACTCTCCAATGTCTTAAGGGCATATTAACCAAGTTTGAAGGCAATCCTTCAAAATCCCTAGGAGGAGTTTGTTAAAATTCGCCATTAGAAATGCCCAAAAATGACCTTTTGACCCCAAATGGCCGACTTCCTGTTTATTTTGGACCAGCGCTCCAAGAGACTTTTGCATAGGTCCTGAGAAGATACAGATGTTTGCCGAGTTTCAGAATAATCGGTCAAAAAATGGGGGTAATAGATTTGTGCCTCCTTGTGTTTGTCAACAGACGGGCTGCAGCATTTTGGACGCTCTGCAATCGCTGCAGGGAGTTCTGGTCCAACCTAAATACAAAGAATTACAATAATCCAAATGCGATGTAATAAATGCATGGATAGCCCTCTCTAGATCAGGCCGAGGAAGATAAGGTCTTATTTTTGCAATGGCCCTCAGCTGGAAGAAACTGGCTTTGATAACAGTGCTAATATGCTTATCAAATTTAAACAGAGGATCAACCATCACACCCAGATTTTTTTTTACAAACGAACGACAGAAGGAGAACAAAGGACCAACCACACCGTCATGCCCAAGCAGGGGGTTGCAT